TCGACCTACGAAGCTCTTCTTCATGCACTCCCATAGGAAATGAAAGTCCCCCCAACAGTGTTATCTCAGGAGATTCACCGAAACCCAGTTTCTCTTCCTATCTACATCATAACTTGTCTAGTGCCAATAAACTTCCTTCAGCCTCGCCCCTCGAAACAAACGCCTTAATCATTCGTCCTGTGAACACAAACCAACGCCATACGCACATTCACTAAGAATATAGACATCAGGCAGTATATATTGTTAGTAAGCTGCCATAAAAATCTATTTATAAGACTCATAATATACCGAGACTGGAAAAAAATAACCATAGCCAAGACGATTACCACGAGACCAGTCTTATCAGGTAGGCAAACCACTTTTTCCAGTTTAGCCGCTAGCCAGATAAATCATAAGCTAGCATGATGCCTAGAAATCGTTTTTAAGGTCTCTTTACAATCGAGCCGGAAGTACGAACCCTCCTTCTCTGTTGGCACCAGCAACCTAAATATTGGGACAAACCTAGGTAGGTTCATTTACGAATATGCGATAACATGCTTCTTTACAAGTGGGTCGGAATAAATGGCATGCACCGCAGAGGTGAGGCTGCAACCAGACTAATAGCAGCGGGCAGGGAAAAGGGAAGGGACGACAACGTCTACACCAGGAAGGACTAATCGAAGGATCATTCGAAAGATGTCTAAAAAGTATATCAAGAAAACACCTTCAAAAGAGTTATCAGATTATGTTATAATTGTTTCGTTTATAAGTAGGATTGCGAGACTACTAGTAAAGCTTTTATATATGAAGTGTATTCATCCTAGGTATGAAGACCAAGATGGTATGGCCGAAGTCTCCTTTCGTTGTATAGAGGTCTTTTGACCTTGTTTTCGCAACTTGGTCATATTGGTAGGAAGACTTAGATGAACGCACCTAGTCCGGAGTCTCTTGTATGCATGATCCTTTCCAGAGAGGACCGCGGACGTGGTACACCCAGACGTTTCGCCGGCGTCGTAGTCGGCATTGTCAGTGAGTTTTGCCATTCGTAGTACCATATTACAACTCGTCAAAGAGACAAGTGAAGCCGATCCTTTGACCAAACGTGTGCT